CATTCCAACCATACGCCCATTTCCCGATCGTTTCGAATGAGCATGTTCGTTATCGATGGATGGAACACTCGATACCGGATGCTATTATGGCGGAAGTGGAGATTCGGATGGAGCTGGACAAGACCCCGAGGAATGAATTCATGCTCGACGCCAGCATATTTCCCTTAGCCTTTCTTCCCACGTATCTAAAGCACCTACGTGCTCGCCAGTGCACGTGGCTGCCGAAGAACGTAACCGGCTACCGGGAGCCATTTTATCCGCTGGATCGAGTGGGGTGCATCCGTTACGACGTCGCTGTCGGAGACTTGAAACTCGACTCAACGCAGCCTGCGTTCCAGCGCTGCCTCGACACTGTGCAGGCCGCTATTAGGGAGCTCGACACGTACCCCAATCGTATTCGAGCACTCGCGTATGGCTACGATGGAACTCCTTCTTCCAGCCTGGCTAGACTCGACCTCATCGGCGAACCAGCAGTTGTGGACAAACCACTCATGTCAACAGCGGAGTGGGTGGAGGGCGCCATTGCTCGCATCGCTTGGTCCTTCTACAGGTCCTTCCACCTCTTCTCAGTCCGGGGGCGCCAGGCATTCGATATCGATTCATCCGGCACCGAATGGATGTGGGAGGTTGTACATGCGCTCCAGCTTCTTGTTCGCAGTGTCCGTTTGTGCGCACCCGATCTCCTCAAGACAGCACTCGGAGCGAGAGTGTACGGGCACACGGCGTCGATGATTTTCACCGTAATGTCACTTAGCCGGAGTCATACTTCGTCTGCGTGGAGCCGGCTGCCACTGTCTCTACAGAGCTGCCACCACCACGTTTGTGCGTGTGCGCTCGAGGGCGAATTCGCGATAGGCTACCCTCGTCCTGCAAACGCAATATTTGCGGAGATAGAGGTTAGGCCACCCCCGGGCGTCGGAGTGCACGTCTGGCTATGCATCATGCACTTCGTCAGTCTTAATCACTATCTGCTTCCCGATATCGATTGCGCCGACGACGTCGACACGTGCCTTCAGATGCTTGGAAAAGTCCAACGGGCGAGGAGGGCCGCTTTCCTTCCAGACGACGCCTATTTAGACCACGATATTGCGGTTCTGACGGCACTCTATAATGAATGGAGCGCCTGGGAAACTCTCTCCGAGAACGAAGGTGAAGACGAAGAAGAAGGAGAAGAATTTGTTCCAGCCTTGTTAAGAGATATTGAAGAAGAATTTCAAGGGGATGTGTTCACCATCGTCGAGTCGAGGCTGAGCTCTGAACCTAGGAATGACAGATTTCCGGTTCGAATCGTACGCGGCGTCGGGGATACAGCAACGGTAGATGCAATTGGAGTGCTCGAGGGGCGATCATTCGTGGAAGACGACTTCGGGCTGTAGTGTTTACTCGCGTCGAGACTGGCTAACGTGCTATGCTGTTGATGGAAAGGTTATAGGGTTTTCCCTTCCAAATGAATCTGAATTGCCGACTGGCAGTTCAGTGTCGATTCTGCGTATGAATTACTTCCTAGCAGTTCAATCCCTTCGTTTGTCTTGGCCTGTTGTTTTGCCCCGCACGTATAGATTTATGTGGAACTAGGGGCAATTCAGTTGGGATTCGTCCTAAGGCGTGACGGAGATGCGGGCAGGCAGTTCATTTTCCACCAAGTCGCCCGATGATGCTCGAGTCGGACGGTACAGAGCGAGACAGCTTTCGGGCGCTAGGCCAGACACGAGTAGAGAAGAGCGGGCTCGCGACGCGATTCCGTAGATGGCGCAGGGTAACATGGGACGAGGAGGGAGAAAAACAAAGTGAGCGGACTGATGAAGAGAGGGGCAGGCTTAGGCGAAGAGGCGGCAGCAATAGAGCTGGGTATTGTACTCTACATATACTTAAGCCAAGATTACATTCGCTTCCCTGGCCTACCGCTCCCCGATAGCATTGTACCCAGCGAGCAGGCTTCCATGCCCAGTAGGAGAGGGGGGTACTGCAGTGAGGTCAGTGTTATAGTAGGATAAAAGGGTAGGAGCACTAACCTAGACAGGTAGTAGAGGCTCTGAGAGGTAAAGAGTCGAGCGACGAGGCGGAAGAGGGCGGAGAGAAGCAGGTCGGCTAGCTTCTCTAGGAGCTTCTTATAGAGGACTAGTAAGAATTCGTGGGCCGAGGCGTATAGGGTAGCTCTATCGAGGTAGGGGATAGTAGGCGGTATTTTAGGAGGGTTTTCTAAAGGGTACTTTTAGGTAGAGATAGGGCGGAGAGGGTAGGGAGAGTAGAGAGAAAGGAAAAAGGAGGAGTAGGGCTAGGAAAGGATATTTAAAGAGCCTCGAAGAGCGGAGCTAGCGGAGAGGCTAGGGAGGTTAGGAAGGTTATAAGCCGAGAACGGAAAGCGAGTAGCCTAACTATTATAATACTTTAGAGGCTACTTAACTAGTATAATACTTTAGGGGATATCTAACTAGTATAATATCTAACTAGTATAATACTTTAGAGGCTACCTAACTAGTATAATACTTTAGAAGCTATCTACTTCTAAGCTAAATTTAGTTTAGTAGGCGTTATATATAGTATATTAGAAGTAGCTTCTAAATAGATAGCTTTCTAACTAATATAATATACTAGAGGTAAATAGCTTCTAAGCTAAATCTAGTTTAGTAGATATTATATATAGTATATTAGAAGTAGTTCTTAAATAAGTAGCCTCTATTTTATACTACTAGTTCTAATATATATATCTACGACGCTATAAATACTATAAATATATATTCTTTTAATATAACTTTTATATACTAGTTATACTACTTAGTTTAGTATTTATAGCTTATAGGACTAAAAGCTAGATAAAATAAGTTCTAGCGTATTTTAAGCTATACTAGATATTTTTATATTAGATAAAAACAAAAGTAGTAATAATAATATATATAATAGGCTTTAAATAATACTATAAATAGTAAAAGATTACTTATACTAGCTTAAAGAATTTAGCGTAATTATTTATAGTATATATAGCTATATAGTATATAGTTTTAAGTTATATCTATAGGAATTATATATTATATTAAAGAAGAAAAGATAGAAAATATTTAAACTATTCTTATATTATTAGATTTAAAAACTATAGAAGGTTCTACTATTTAAACTACTATAAGCTTCTATTAACTATTTTAGAAAACTAGTTAAAGTATATATTTATAAAGAACCTAAGTACGAAAAGATTAGTAGAAGTTAAAATAAGATTAGAAAATACTATAATTGAAAATATAACTAGAAGTTAATAAAAGAAAAGTAGGAGTATTAGTATTAAATATAAGCTTAAATATTTTTTAATTTAGCTAGTTTATAGCGATATTTTATAGTTAACTATAATAAAGATATAATAGATAAAATAAGTACTAAACTAGTTTTACTACTTATAATAAATAATAGTAATTTAGAATTATAGAAATATATCGAGATTAATAAAAACGATATATTAGCTATATTATATAATTAGAATATATAGTTAGAGAAATAGAATAAAAAGCTAAAGATTACTAATAAAGCTATAGTAAAAACGGACTATATACTATAGTTTAAACGAAATTAATAGTCTAAGTATATTCGAGGCTATAACTTATAGTATTTTAGTTAAGTAGCTTACTTACTAGATTATAGTAATAAACTTTTAGTTTAGGCTATAAAAGTAAATATAGCTCTAATTAAGTAGTATATAATAGAGTTAAAAATACTAGACTTAGAAACTTAGTATTAAGTATAGAGTATAAAGTAAATAGAGCTAGATATTTAGCTATTTATCCAGCTTAGGGTTAGGGTTAGGGTTAGGGTTAGGGTTAGGGTTAGGGTTAGGGTTAGGGTTAGGGTTAGGGTTAGGGTTAGGGTTAGGGTTAGGGTTAGG